TCACATCCTGATCTCTGTCCCCAGGACTGCCTGAGACCTGCTCACTTTTGAATAGGAGATTTATCCAAAGGTTTATGATAAGTGTTTCTCCTGCTCTTCCATTCTATTCTTTCTCACTGCAGTTAATATCATTGTAGAAATAGAAACTGTAAAGAGTTCAGTGAAAGAAAATGCTTTACAAGCACCTCTAAATTGTGATTATACCAAATTTGCATGCCTGCCATCTGCACATAAAACCCTGCCTTTGCTCCAGCAAAGCTTCCTTGCTGAACTCACAGTCTCTAGATCCTCACAGCTCTGCCCCACTGCACAGTTCTCTATGGAAACATGGACAGTAGGGATAGAGGCAGCTGCGCGTGTCCATCTGAAGGCAGAATGCACCCTTAAGCTTTAATAATAATACTATTGGCAATATGTAACATTTAAATAAGCCTTTTCATCTTCAAAGCCCTCTGTAGGCACAGGGATTCACCCAGCATCTCTCTGGTGTGGATATTATTAGCATCCTTTTACAGAAGCAGCCGGGGAACAAAGAAAAACAACGAAATTTGCCCAGGGCCAGTGGCGGGATCACTAGCAGGCAGATTATTGTGAATTGCCATTACCTGAGACCTTCCTTTAGGGATCATTTGAAAAAATAATATAGGAATACGTGTTCAAAGAACCACAGAGTGCTGACACTGTTTGTATGATGCTGCTCTTTCCAAAGAATTTACAGAGACATATCCCAGCCATTAGCCTAACAAGAGAAAGAGAGGGAAACTTGGTGAAAGTCATGCAGAATTCTCCTGTTGGTAGTTCAGTGTTGCTCAGTATTGTGATGTAGATTTGATTGATTTGTTGCAGAGAAGTGCAGCACACTGCAGGGAAAGTGAAATATCACCTGGGGTTCGCTCCACTGTAAATTGATTTAAACCACACTGAATTAAACTGCAGCAACCTAGAGGCTTCGGATCAAGCCACCCTTTATAAATACATGACCAATCTTTTTATTTTTAAGGGATCCTGTTTTCACAGGAGCAGATTCCTTTGCTGAAATGCAAGAGTATCATAATCTATATTACAGTAGCTGAAATACTAATGCACTGTGTCCTGGATTGTACCTCCCTCAGAAACATGACATGTTTTTGATCTAAGCTTTGGGGAATAATGTGGACAAAAAGCCTTTTCAAAAGCAGAGAATAAAAATGGTCTTATTTGAAATTTGAGTATAACAGCTGAAAAAAGCACCACCCTCATCTTTATTAGCCTGCTATTCAATCCACATGAAGTGAAGACATTGTAACGCTGCTTTTATCACCCCACTGGAAGTGGAGTGGTAATAAATGGAAAGAAACACATTACACGCTATCCAAGAGACCTGATCCTGAACTGCACTGAGCTTCTTATTCCAAGCCAGGAGTCCTTTTAGCTCTCCTTGACCTCAGTGAGAAATCTGGGCTCTCCAGAGCTGATGCACAGTATTCTTTATTCTTACAACTCTGGGATAGGTGTACTGAAAAATAGATTTAAAGGGAACACAAAATGTATTTGCTCTTTTTTTTTTTTTTTTGTTCTTACATCTCATCTTAACATAGTATATCTGGCAACATAAAGGTATGGCAGCTGAACACTATGTGAAATATAAAAATCATGTCTATTTTGTCTAGAATCTGTAAATTGTATAAGGTTAAGGATATTCTGCAGGAAAGAAGCACATTAACCTTCCAGAAATGGATTTGTGCCTGTATTTTCCTATTTTAAAAAGTGTCTTTAACACAGCCTTCAAAGTTGTTTATGTGGATAAACACAGAGAAGGCATGTAGCCCTCCCTCAGTATAATACTGACTGGAAAAATACTGATTTTGTTTTTCTTAAGAAACAATAGCAAACGCTAGAAATCTTATCATCCAGTGTGCTGTTGATTTTTCTCTTTTCCTTTATTTATAGGAGACAGCTATAGGCATACCACTCACTCTCTAATATTCCTACAGAAACAGCAACCATCTGGGTGCTGGGGTGGGTGCACCAAGCCCTAGGGTGCCTTTAGCCAGTTCACTTGGAATCTCGAGTCTGTCCTCTCCTATCACCCAGCAGCAATGGAACATTTGTTCCCTGAAGGGCCGGCACGCTGCCAGCAGCAGGTGTTAGGCTGTCCTCTGGGATGAAGGCAGCAGGCAGGAGCACTGATGTGTGCCTATGACAAGATGTTGCAAATCTGCTCTCATAGCGACGGTGACAGCATCTGGGACAGTGTTGTGAGTCACCATTCTGTAACCATTAAAAACCAGTTGCCGTTCCTTTCATAATAATAAATTAAAATATCATTCCAGAGTGTGCTGGTCTCAGGAAGGAAATTAAAGAAGGCATGTACGGATAAACACATGTGTGTGCACTGGCACACACATGGCATTACGGGGTGTATTATCCAATCGTGTTCAAGTGACTGTGCCTTAAATTAACAGGTACAGCTGATTGAAAGGATAGGGTTGTGGCTGCTATTCAAACTGCACTTTTAGATTTTCTTTAAGGAAATAACAGTAAAAGAAAAATGTTTAAGAGTCAGTAAAAAAAGTTACAAACACTATCCTTTTAAATTAATGATTTTATAATTAATAGATAATTCTTACACAGTTGCACATATTAAGTCCAGATTCCTAAATCACTTCAGTTTTAGATTTTATTTACATAGGCTGAACTTATGCCTCTTCTGACTAAATTGAAAGCTTAGCAGGGTATGTGGCATTTTACAAGAAGAGGATTTATATAAATATCTGCATGGAAACAATAATAGATTAGCTGCCTCTTTCCAAAATGCCTGTTTTGAAAATGCTTGCATAGATCTGTAGGCAGGTGCACAGATATTGTTTCCACGACCTCTTCCCACAGAGATCATATTCTTCTACTTCGGTTTATACGGGATTTGAATATGGATAAAGCACATTTCTAAAATTCGCCAACAAGCCATACAGCAAATATCCAAATAATGCTCTCCCTTGATTTTGCTGGAGTCTTGTTTCAGCCTGGTATGCTTATCTTTCAAGCCATCTAAATCCAAGACCTTCCATCTTATTGACCTTTATTGAATATAACGCATGGGATTGACGAACACAAAGACAGGGCCTCTCTTTGACCGGTGGTGGGTTGTCAGCAAGGCCACTGCTTTAATTTGGGTTGAACCCGCCCCAGTCCAGATCAATGCCAGAGCTGTTAATGATGTCAACAGAGCCAGGATTTCACCCTTGGCTTCCACACTTACAATGGTCAGCTTCATTGTGATGCAGCTTTATAAGCAGGGCTTATCAAGATGAGGGGCTTCAGAAAGAGAGAACTCATATGAGGGTCAATGCCTCAAGTCATATTAAGTGCAACACAGCTTAGCCCAAGTACTTAGTGTTTTAGTGCTTCCCCTCCACTCATGCTCAGTCTTCACTCGGTTTAACAATCTGGGTGGTTGTTCACTGATTTTAGTCCACCAAGTAAGTAATTTTCCCACTTGCTTCCCTTTTAGTCTTTCCCAGAAGCTCCATTTTTGCTGGTTTGCCTAATAATATTTCATTCATTGCTGAAGACCAGATACCTTGGCTATCTATCACCAGATTTTAGTGAAAAATGAGTTATTTCTTCAAGGACAGAAGAAAAATCAGTTTTAAATGGTCCCTCTTGTGGAAATGTATTTTACTTTTTACCTTCCCTGTTTCATCTCCATGTTTTTAAATCAAAATTTTTTCTATTTTTTTTCCTCACAAATGAAGTGTGCAAAAGAGAACCAGGTGGGCTTTTTATGGTAGTTTTGAAGAAAACAAAATATTTTTTTGGGAGAACAGATTTGGTCAATAATTGGGTAAAAATATGCAGAAAGTATTGTAAATGGCAAACCATATTTTTCTGGTCTTTTTCAAAATAAAAATGTCTAATTTCAGGAATGCTGACACTTTTTGGTTAAGAATTTTCTGTCAGAGCAAGTATTTGTCATTTAAAATTTGACCTGAACCTATAATAAGACAAGACTCTCAAGGAATTGTAAGTGATATAAAAAAGGAGGGGGGAGAATTAATTTACATTTGAATGTTAAATTCAGGGATGATGCAGAGCACATTTTTTTAATTTTTATTTTGTGATGGAATTTTTTGCAACTTAAGGCAAATACAGGAAACCAGAGAGCTGACTACAGTGACACGATCAAACAACACCCCTCACCACACACTAAACTCTTCTGTTACCTGTAATACTACTACATACTGTCAGATATTGCTCTACAGTTATTACAGTGTTTTCAGTATAAACACCAAGTAAGACAGAAAATAAACTTACTTTTGAAAGGGAAGAGAGTCAGAAAATAGACAAAATTAAGTGCAGCTTTGAAACTCTCCTGATTTTTTTAGGATTAGCTGCTGGGTCTGTGTTTAGCGACATAACAACCCCAAATCCAAAAGGTGCCAATTACATCACCCCCTTGACCTCTGCTAAAGCCTGGTGACAAGCACTCTCAACTCACAGTTCTTTTGATATTTTTAGGTAAATGTTGAAGTTTTCCCTCATTCTCCCACATATTCACTCACCTGCTGTGTGTTTAAGATCAGATTTTCGAAGTCAGGCATATGAATTTGTGCAGGTACATCTGCACACATCAACATTTGAAAATCCAGCCCACAGTTCAAATGAAAAAAAAAAATCAGAATTCTATTCCCATGTGAGTTCTACAAATGCCTCTGAGAAAGCCAAATCATTTATTGAAATGTTTGACAAAGAAACCACATACTTTGTTGTTTCGATGCATTAGATAAGGGTCTACTTTTTTTGGAAGAAAAAGCCTTCGCTGTAAATCAGCAGCATGAAGAATTAAACATGAAAACAAAAGCATATTATTTAAAGAACAGCCTGTTCCCTAAACTGTTACTGTGCTTGGTGCCAAACCACATTTTGTGATATATCATGTACAACCTCCTCTTGCATGTTTTACTGTTATGCTTTATATGACTTGGAGTGAGAAAACCCTGATAGTTCTGCCGTAGACTTACCACAGCCATCAAAGACAGGTCCACTCACAGAGCTGCATCACAACATGACAACTTCCTCCTGGGATGATGACTCTAAAAGAGGTGGAAAAGTGTTTGTTTACTTGGCAATATGTATGAAAATCTGAAATGACTTGAAATGTAAATTAAGAGTGGATCTGTTACCCTTCATGAAACACTTGGTGGACGCAGGATGACAGTGACCTTGCTGCAAAGTGCAACACACACAAAGTAGGGCCACTTCATTCTCACACAGGCCTAGAAATAGAGAGCAACCTAAACCTGAATGTGAATTTACAGTATATAAACCATTATTATCATAGTATGCAGGCATATACCTGTAGAGGTAAATGTTAAATAGTTTATTTCACACAGGGCTATGTTATATTTAATTTACAATGGAGTAACAACAAGCACACAGGCAACTACTGCAGAGCATCTCATGTCCAACTTCCTGCTTAAATATATGTTGGGATGTTTTAGTTATATGCCTTTATCCCCCATCACTACTCTAACCCATTATCAAAATTCATCCTGATTAATTTTCCAAGACATACCTGAGACGACAAGCCTAACTTTCCATACTGTGGTAGAGAGAAGGGTTCAGCAACCTTTTATAGATCTTGTTTCTAGTCTCTCACTGATAAAATCCTAAACCAGAGACACTCACAGGATAGAAAAAAAACAGGTCTGACAAGTTAGCAAGGGAAAAAAAGGACTGGAGCTGGCTATGGAAAGAGTGTAAGGAGTGAAACCTGCAATAGGAAGCCAATGGGGACAGCACGTGTAGAAGGGGCTGTTAACTGCTCCATTAGCTCAGGTAGAGTGGTCCAAGATATGGTACAAAAGGTCCTAGACTCAGGAGTGACCCAGAGGGATGTCAGTGTGATGCAAGATCTGTTTTCCATTTTATTTATGATCCTTTTAGAAAGATGACAGGCAGGAACTATACTAAAATTATACATCTTTCAATGCCAAGGACTTATGGGAAAAGAGATTACAGAATCAATGTTATTCCTTCAGCTGAAATTGAACTCACTCTGTTCATATGCATTATATCTTTAATAACATAATTGCACGATGCTTTTTTTCTACAACTCTCTTGCCTTACTCCTTGCATAGTTCTGACCTACACTGAGATGAACCAGGGTTGAGTAGCGAAGTAGAATCTTCTGGATCTTCACATATTGAGAAACTAGAGGTAATAAATGAGGTAGATATTCTTTGGAGTTACAAGAGAGTTAAATCCACTTAAGGCTGAGATCTAGACTCTCTAAGTACCATTACTAGAGTCGGCATGTGGTGATGGACAAATCACATAGTCAATGATATATGGTCACTTATATGTATCTCATTTTCAGGGGGCCCAAATTGATAGTCAAGGGTTAGAAATACTGAAGTGCTGAACTAGCTGAAGGTGAGGACATAAAGGGCCATGCCAGGAACATGTAAAGTTTAACTTAGTATTTCCATAAAACACTTATAATAAACTCAAATATCAGTAAAAAAGAAGTATCAACTATGAGTATATTGAAAGATGTAATTTTTTTAGAGACACTGAAAATAGAAAGAAGCCTGAATCTAAAATTCTCTTTTATACATATTATTACTGTGAATTTAGTGGATTCAAAGGAGTAAAATGACTCAGTTTAATAACTCACTAATGTCATTTAGGTCATCCAACTGCATTTTATTAAAATAATGGTCATAAGAACACATTTTTCTGCAGTTAGCCCAAATTAGTGTATTAATATGAAAATCTAATGTTAAATATTCTAAAATAATTATGATTTAACATTAGCATGCTTTATTTTTTCTTTTTGTACCTCATTTCCCTTCACCTTCCGGTGGTATAACAAAAATAAATTAAATTTTGTTTGTCATATATATAAACGTGACTGTAAAGAGTGCTGTAGAAAGCTGAAGAGGAAATTAATAACTCAGGGCAGTAAACAAGGCCTGGGACCACACAGTGAACTGTGAGGAGAAACAGAAGTTTTTTTGTCCCATCTATCTTATATGTGAATAAAAAACCACACAGGCAAGTAAATGTAGCATAATGCATAGACAGAAGTAGTGCAGTCTTAATTTCAACTTTCTAATGTTTCAACCTTTGAAGTCCCCAGTCCTTTTAACATTCCTTAAATGTTATTTCACTGTAATTACTGTGTTTGCAATGAGAGGTTTTTTTTCTCCCCCAAATGGAGTTATTTAGTATCAGTCCAGGAGGCTCTGGGAAAGGGAGAAAGGATTGTAGCTTACCTGTTTCAAATCCTTTGCACACATGGCAGATAATTTTGACCAAACTGGAAGATTTTTCCTTGAAATTTTTCATTCCAGAAGAAAGAAGTCTTCACCTGTAGGAAAACGCAGAGAAGAGCTGCTGTGGCAGTTTATTCCTGAGATTATTCCGGGATGTGCTGCCCAGTCCCTTACCTTGGGCAGGGTCATGGTGGAGCACATCCAGCTCAAGAGGGAGGCAAGTGCGTGTCACACAAGAGCGGATGAGCAAAACCTTATGGTTTATGAGACAGTTTCGGTGAACTGTGTTTATATTATGGTTGGGCAAAGGTGCAAGCTTTGTGCTTTTTTTTTTCCCTAAAAAGGGAAAACCACAGAAAGAAACGGAGATGAAAAGGAAACAAGTAAACAAATGTGGTTTTACAGAAACTGAGGGACAATTTATCCTCAGCACAGCAAGCGAAAACTTGGAAAACATTTGGAAAAGTCAGAAAACAAGTTAAAGTTGGTTGGCAGACTCTGACAGAGCTGACAGCTAAAACTACCCCTGGCATATTGACAACAGTGTGGCATCAATCTGTGTGTAACAACCTATCCTTGAAAAACTCCATCCTGGATTTAAGCTAGCACTTCCTAACCTTTTCTCTACCCAGCCTCCAAGCTGCGGTGTGGAAAAAGTTTTCAGACATGACTTTTAACTCGTTTACGAGCAGGGGCCGGTGCTCCCCCTCAGACCGCCATCATGGCGACTGCCTCAGCCCTGCTCCCTCAGGGACTCGTCTCCCTCCCTCACGCTGCACTGGTCAGCATAGACACCCTCCTCAGCTGCCTGCTCACCTCTTGTCTGGGGTCTTGTACCTACTCCACATTCCCACTTTCTTTATTCAGGACATTATTCTGTTCCCTAAAGCATGGCCATGGCAGAAAGATGAGGAGCCTCGTGGCTTCCCTTGTTGCAACCCATTCCACTGCAGGCTGTGTGCTGCCTGAGGGGGCCCTGAGCACCCTTCCTCACAAGGTTATTAATTATTGCTGCAAGGTTGTTATACATCTGCAGTACTTGTCTACACAAGTGTAGGGCTGTGTCTGCTGGCACCTGACTGTGCTGGAGGAGGAAGCAGCCACAGGGTTTTTCCTGCTACGGCTGCTGGTGGGACGGATGGGATTGTCACCTTCTGTCCTTAAAAGCCACAAATGTGATTCTTAGGACTGACCCAGTACTTTTCTGGCAGCATAAAACCTGGAGGAAAGGAAGCTGAAGGAAGACCACCTTGCTCTCTACACCTCCCTGAGAGGAGGGTGGAGCCAGGTTTGGGCGTCGGACTCTTCTCCCAGTGAAAGAGGAACCAGACAAGAGGAAGCAGCTTAAAGATGCACCAGGTGAGGTTGAGATTGGATATTAGGGAAAATTTCTTTATCAAAAGGGTTGTCAAGTTCTTGCACAGGCTGCCCAGGATGGTGATGAAGTCCCTATCCCTGGAGGGATTTAAAAGATGTGTGTGGATGTGGTACTTGGGGGCACTGGTTAGTGGTGGGCTTGGCAGTGCTGAGGGGACATTTGGACTCAGTGGTCTGACAGTGCTTTTCTAAATTCAGCGATTCTGTGATTTTATGATTGTGATGTAGGAAGTAGAAAGTAGTTACAGTAAAGTCTGAGCTGAGGCCCAGCAGCAGCTGAGTTGTATGGAGGTTTGAGGTGCAGACCCCCTCACCGTGTTACACTGCTGTCTATTGTTGCATGAAGCTATATAAATGAATGCCATGATACCACTTTCTGGGCAATTTCCAGCTGCATCCACTGTTTGCTGGTGATGCTTAAGGCATCCATATCTCTGTAAAGCTGTATGGGCATGCTCTGCCTCTTAGCAAGCTACTGACTATCAGATCTCACCTGAGGTGTGGTGGTAGCAATAGGTATGATCATCCTCTATCACCTGCAGCTTCAGTCTCAAGAAAAGTGGGTTTAAAAGGTTGTTTTCATGCAACAAGCTCACGTACTGCCATATAAGATGTCATGGAAGTTCTTTCCATGTTATTACTACACCTTAAAAATAACCTTCTGTTTTGAGACCTCTTGGTGTTCTCAGATTATCTGTATTTATACAGTTCTTGTGGTCCTAAGATCCCTATGTGTTTAGCTGGATGATACACAGATAGCCTGAGTTGTCAGTCACTCTCTCCATCGCTCGAGAGCCTCACCTCACTTCTATAGACAGCTTTATATAATATCCCCAAGTGATTCAGCTCGAACACCTTGAATACATCAAAGATATCCGTATGTAAGATGTCAGCTTCTATGAGGATGCAGCCAAAGGTTGCCCTGCACAGCTCATATGCAGGTTATGATGACTATACTATTTTGATTATAAAAGAAAGCTGTGCTTTCTCACTCGTGGTATGCCCAGCTATCATTTGCTGCCTCATGCCACATTGAGGTTGATACTTAGCAACTGGGGGGGGGGGGGAAGTGAATTGCTAACATCTGTTTTATCATTTTTTGGTGAATGAAAAACCAAACAGAGACCTTACTTTTGCCTCGATCATTCAAAACAATGAAGTTTACACAGACTTGATGCCATCATGTGTTGCATTTCTAGCAAACCAACTTAACAAATTATTTTAAAGATAATGCTAAAAGAAAAAAAAGCTCATATATACTGTCACATAGACAACCTGTAATCCAGCCCAGCAGATTGCAGACTTTGGACACTTGGCTTTTATGTCTTTGGTCACTGTATTCCACTTGAGGAAATCTATCAGAAAACTGAAGATTGCTTTTCTTTCATATTTCTCATGTGCTACAGCCATGTGAATAGTGGGTCTGTTTGGTTCCCAACTGCAAAAACAAATAAAAATTCCATCTTTAACACTTAGGAAACTGTCTATTTTTAGTTTGGTTTCCTATGGAAACAAGGCATCTGTGATCAGGCTGTCTCTGTGCATGTATCTGTCCTTGTGTACCCCCTAATAATTTTTGAATCTAGTGGCCTTTTCCAACCCAGTGTGATGAAACGACAGAAGTTTCAGGGTAACTGGGTTCGAACAAATTTCCAAAAATAAGGAGCTAGACAGATGAAAAAAAATGTTGATGTTGCACAGCTGAGGGAAAGGTGCAGCATGAACTTATACATTATGAGACTCCGGAGAATCTATGGAGGTGAGAGCTGCAGTAAATAACAGGGCTATATGGAAAAGCTTCAGTCCAAGGTCATGCTTTTATGCACCTTAAGTTCATAAGACACCAGGTTTAATTCATTCCACTGCTCACACCATTATTAGTTTAATACTTGCAGTGGTCTCCCTTCACAGTCAGAAGATTAGAATTCTCCCCTTTCCCCATAACCAGCAAAGAATCTGGCCCCAGATGTTTTCAGATTTGACCTGTCATTGGGGTCAGAGGATCAGGATCATGAGATACTGGTCTATGAAATTAAAGCTACTCAAATGGTGTAGACTTCCATATCAGAAAGCTTCAGGGAATGCCTGGAAGCAAGATGTCTTTGGGAATTAACCAGTGAGCCCTTCAAGGAGAAGAAAATAATGTAGAACTCAGCTCTCCTTTTTATCAGGCAACTAAAATATGTGAACAAATTAAGAAATAACTGTTAAGGATGTGTTGGTTTGGGGATAATGAAGAGAAGAAATGGGAACAGCAGCTGAATAAACTTTGGTATGGAAGATTTGCTAACTTAGATTATTTTGTTAATTTTTAGTTGAATCGATCCCCTACTCTGTCTTTAGTCTTCTCAAGGTTGTCCAGAGCTGGAAAACAAACAGCTGAAAGAAGTGTCTTTTGGGGTAAGGAAACTGGAACATAACACAGAATAGTTACTACTACATGTGTGAAGCTGACTTAGACTGCAGACTGAGAGATGTTACAGCTGACCTAGTGCAGGTTCACTCTGGAACTGGTGTCTCTGAGGCAAGAAGGGAAAGACACTCCTTCTTCTCTGTGAGCTGTATCTGAATCTGTACAGATACATTTCTGCAGGCTTTCATCCAAATTAATAAACTCTATCCCCGAGGCAGTTGCTTGTGGATCTGTGTTGTGTAAGTACTGTGTAGAGACTTAGTGGCCCAAGCTGGTGCTTGCTTGTAGCTCTCTGCACTGTGCCCTGTTGTGCAGAAGCACATAACCTGACCTACTAGGAGCTGTGGGTGTAGACAGTGTGATATGGGAAGTTAACCAGGCTGGCAAACTGGGGAGAACTGCAGCTCCCACTTTCCCTGGAGACCAAAAGTTTTTCAAACCCTGCTAAGGTCTGCAGAGAAATTTCAGCTGATTTGTAGCTTTTTTCCATTTTCTAGGCTTATAAGAACTCAACATCCTGGGAGATAAGCCTTTCAGTATGGAAACAGTCTTTCTAACAAAAAATATTCTGGCTCTAGAGGTGCTTCCTTACAGCTCTGACAGAGACCTCTGACAGAGGCCTAATCTCTCTTCCTGTGGTGGTCACAGAACCTTGGATGGATGGAGTTGACAAGGACATTTATCCTCACCATAGTAGTCTGAGGAGGAGGTCCCACAAAGTAAATATTTTGGATTTTCGCTAGAGTAATATTACAATTGCCATTTCTATCATGTTGCAATCTGCTGTAGCTTCATCCTGCTCTGTGTAATATGCTATCAAAATCAGTTCTGCTGCTTATTTACCACTGCATGGACATTACAGTTAAAGGCTTCGTAATTTCTGGTCTTTTATATGGAACAATAATGAAAATCTTCGGAAAATAAAAATAGGCAAACATATCTGTCTGCCTGAATCTGAAAGGCAATATCTTTTAGTTGTACAGGTTTTTTTTCTTTCTAATTGCCACAACACTTACCATAATTAATTTAAAAATAGAGTTTAGAAAGCAGTTGGTATAATTAATGTATTGATCTAGTTTTCCATTATGTCGTTGGCACAGGTGAAAAATGTGCTTTTGATGAAATTGTTGATTAAAACTACCAAAGAATCCATTATATCTAGCTTACATTCCCTTACCTAATGAAGCAGATGGATATAAAATGAAGGAAGGCCATATTGACCTTTAGCAGAAATATATATGGCATATAACTTGATACCTATAAGATAATTAATATTAATCTGACCTTTTTAGTTTTGTGAACTACAGTTCTGTTACTAATAGCAGCTACATAATGTGTTGTATGTTTTCACTGAAGAGGTCATGCACTGGCTAAGAGAAGGAAAATGTGGATTAGCTCAGCTGTTCTCAGCATCTCATAGATTCAGGGCAGGGAGGGGGAACATCCCCATCTTCCCTCCCAACCCTCTCATACACCTTAGTAGGTCAGGAATGTGCATAGTGCTTCTGTGGGCAGAATGCTTTGAGGGAGGAACACCAGACAACTGATCAGCATGAGAAAGTGCAGAAAGAGTTAAATCAGGATATTGGGTGGTTTCAGCAAGGCAATCCCAGTCCTGTGCTGGTCCTCCCCCTGAGCAGGGACCATCAGTACACGGTTTGTCCAGCATCTAACGTGATCATATGACAGTGTTATTTTACATGATAAGATAATGTGAGCTATGTGAGTATGTGACTGTGGCTTGCCTAGCATGGAATTACTCAAAAATGACTTTTGTTTTCAAAATTCAGATCAACCCTAGGTTAAAATAACTTAAAGTATAGACAGTCCTAAAACAAACACAGGGTACTCTGTAACAGCCGTTTAAAGAATGTTCTATTCACAAACATTTTCTAACTATTGAGTCAGTGATTGGACTTTCCTGAGATTTAAAAAAATCCTGGATGTTTGCTGCATTATTTAGCAGCAGCTGTCCTTCATGTTGGCCTAACAATAAAATTTCTGCCTCAGTTTCTCTATAGTCATTTGTTTAGTGTTAGCACTTTGATCCCCAGTAGAACTAGTTGATCTTTAAGGTCTCTTCCAACCCAAACCATTCTATGATTCTATGGTTCTATGAAATTAGAAAATTTTTTTTCAGGAAAAAACAAAAGATTCCAAAGCAAAATCCTATTCTCTTTGGTTTGAGTCAAGTGCAGTTCTTTACAGTCAAGCCAGTATGCCCAGTGCTGTCTCTGTTCACACCTCTTAAAGCTCATGAAGGCATTTGTATTGCATCTGCAGCCAAAGGTGCCCTCTGAGAGGAAACTCACAAGGATATGCGGAAAAATGTTTCATCTGCATTGGACATGTCTAGTTGTTAGCTGAGGCAGTTCTGTTACTACATATCTCTGCAAAATACTCTCCAAATGTCAAAAAAAAATGGGTGAAGGTGCAGACAAATCCTTATCTTCCCCTCCTTCAAAGCGTGTCCAGCTTTC